TATAAAGCTGTGACCTTAATCTGTCAAACCTGAGTGATTGTCTACGGCTACAAGAAGGGATCTAATCACTATGGAAGGTGGTCCCTTCGTCACTGAGAGTTTGGAGCCAATGCTCTCAACCTTAAGTTTCAGCATGAACAGGTTCTTGGAAGTCTCATATGAGTCTTCTATCAGTGAACATGAGGAGACTAAAGTGTTGGTATGCAGACCATCAAGAGAAAAATATAATTTGCATGGCTTATAAGGGACAATGCCTCTTGGGAGCAGCCCTGGATGCCCTCATCAAGGATGCCACAAGTGGTAAGGGTACTGCTCGTTTTCAATCAATGCAACCTAAGACTCAGTCTGGGGAGGCTTGCCCTTTGCTGCAGGGCAGGGTCCTTACTCCATCGTTTCAAATCCAGACCCAAGTGTGGCCCCACTCTTTCTGCAAACCTTGGAGTTCCAAAATGACAAGGTTTCTTCAGCATGAGTGTTCACCCTCACTTTCCAAAATGAGGGACATCTGTTAACATTTGCAGTCACTTGGACAGCCTGCTTCTCCAATGCTTGGGTGCTGGAGGTGGCTTTCAGGGACTACAAGCTAGAGCAGCCTTTCTTAACATTTTCAACACAGAAGAACCCTTGAAATAACTTTCCAGTCTCCGAAAACTGCTAAAAATGACTATATCCACAACTCCTGGTACATTAGTGTGATGGTCAGTGAGAAGAATGTTTCATACACTTGTGGTCATTGGGAAGAGAGCTAAAAAAGATCGATGTTGTGAGTGGGAACTTATCTGAAAGACAGACGTTCATTGCTTAAGGAACCCCTAGCACCCTCTGGAGGAACCCTATAATTCCATGGAGCCCTAGCTGAGAAACTCCGAGCTAGAGTATTACAACCTGCCCCCTCCTCAGTCTATTGCTTACAACCTGCTCTCATCCTTGTTGGAATCCAGTATTTAGACCAATTTCCCTACTGGATGGTCTCAAGTTATGAGGAAGGAATCTGTTATAAATGCCTATTTATAAACCTTTCAACCGAACAGCCAATCCAACACTATCATATATGAAGAAGCCCTCAAACTCGGGATTGTTTCATCCACGAAGCATTCATCCTGGGGCTGGCAGGGTGGTGGTGTGTTTGCATTGGCAAGGTTATAAAGTTTCTTATCGAGTTTCACAACACCTGGTGACCTTGGCTTCACTCGGCTTCCTGGTACTTTGTATGTTTATATTGCTTCTGAAATATTATTTACAATATACAGCAGAACAAACATCATTCAGTCCAAAATGCAACCGCTGAGCTCCAATAAACAGAATTGCCTAGCAATGGACGGCACTAGGTGACAGAACTGTGTTGCCATACCCAACGCTGAAGTCACTGGAACATTGGGGGCCATTTACTAAACGAGCTCACAGTCTTGAGTCAATAAATTCGGTTAATACTCATTTATCTGATCGCAGTTCTTATTTGGTTTGCAACATGATTGCATAATTGAAGTGAAAATTCTATTTATTCACTGAAGATTCAATACACCTTTAGTAAATCAGCCCCATAGTGTGAGGGCCCAGTGAGAAATCCCTGGAGTGGCAGGATAGGGGCCCGATGAGAAATCCCTGGATTGATAGGATAGGGTCCCGGTGAGAAATCCCTGGAGTGGCAGGATAGGGGCCCGATGAGAAATCCCTGTAGTGGCAGGATAGGGGCCCAATGAAAAATCCCTGGATTGGTAGGATAGGGTCCCGGTGAGAAATCCCTGGAGTGGCAGGATAGGGGCCCGATGAGAAATCCCTGGATTGGTAGGATAGGGTCCCAGGGAGAAATCCCTGGAGTGGCAGGATAGGGGCCCAGTAAGAAATCCCTGGATTGGCAGGATAGGGTCCCGGTGAGAAATCCCTGGAGTAGCAGGATAGGGTCCCGGTGAGAAATCCCTGGAGTGGCAGGATAGGGGCCCGATCAGAAATCCCTGGAGTGGCAGGATAGGGGGCCCGATGAGAAATCCCTGGATTGGTAGGATAGGGTCCCGGTGGGAAATCCCTGGAGTGGCAGGATAGGGGCCTGGTGAGAAATCCCTGGAGTAGCAGGATAGGGGCCCGGTAAGAAATCCCTGGATTGGCAGGATAGGGTCCCGGTGAGAAATCCCTGGAGTAGCAGGATAGGGTCCCGGTGAGAAATCCCTGGAGTAGCAAGATAGGGGCCCGGTGAGAAATCCCTGGAGTGGCAGGATAGGGTCCCAGTGAGAAATCCGTGGAGTAGCAAGATAGGGGACCGGTGTGAAATCCCTGGAGTGGCAGGATAGGTTCCCAGTGAGAAATCCCTGGAGTGGCAGGATAGGGGCCTGGTGAGAAGTCCCTGGATTGGCCAGACAGGGCCCAGTGAGAAGTCTCTGGATTGGCAGGATAGGGCCCGGTGATAATTCTCTGGATTGGCAAGATAGGATCCCAGTGAGAAATCCCTGGAGTGGCAGGATAGGGGCCTGGTGAGAAGTCTCTGGATTGGCAGGATAGAGCCCAGTGAGAATTCTCTGGATTGGCAGGATAACACCTGGTAAGAAATCTCTGGAATGGAGCAATAGGGGCCTAGTGAGAAATCCCTAGATTGGCAGGATTGGGTCCAGTGATAAGTCCCTGGATTGGCAGGATAAGGGCCTGGTGAGAAATCCCTGGAGTGGCGGGATAGGGGCCTGTTGAGAAATCCCTGGAGTGGCAGGATAGGGGCCTGGTGAGAAGTCCCTGGATTGGCAGGATAGGGCCCAGTGAGAAGTCTCTGGATTGGCAGGATAAGACTTGGTGAGAAGTCTCTGGAATGGAGCAATAGGGGCCCAGTGAGAAATCCCTGGATTGGGTCCAGTGATAAGTCTCTGGATTGGCTGTTTAGGGCCAGGTGAGAAATCCCTACAGTAGCAGGATGGGGCTCGGTGTGAAATCCATACAGTGGCATGATTGGGGGCCCGATGGGAAATAACTGGAATGGCAGGATGGGGGCCTGGTGAGAAATCCTAGGAACAGCGGGATGAGGACCTGATGGGAAGTTTCTGGAAGGGTGGAATGGGGTTTTGTGAAAAATCACCAGAGATATGACTTCCATCCCTCCAAAGTATTTAGGATCCTTCTATACGGAACACAGCTCCTGGGTGTGTCATTGCTTTGCTCTATAGTCTGGATAAAGACTTTATAACAATTAACAGAGATCGTGGTGTTTATAATCTACCAAACCTTCACATGGAAGGATCTTCTGCAGATTGGACTTCCATGTAGAGATGTCAGTGTTGCTCCAATCACAATGAACGGATATTTGATACATTTAAGCGAAAATTGTGTTTGGCAACTGAACTTCCAACTTTGGACCAATCAGATTCTAATTTGGTAGGAAAATCGATTGTTCAATATTTCAAATACTTTTTTTCTTTTTCATTCATTGAAGAACAGAGCCCTACTTCATGACGAATAGGTTTGATGTCAGAGTTGAACCCTAACATATTACTCACCGAGGCTATAAAATCTGATTATATAATAGTTTTCTCCTCTGCTTATATTATAACGTTTTCAGGGTATAGAGGGTTATAGTTCTCGTTTTCTTGTGATTCTCTATATGTGTATGTGTCCAATGTGGAGAGATAATCATCCGTAACAATGGATGTAGAATACAATCAGCATTAGGAACAAGGACACCAACACAACCCTTGTTTCCTTCTCCCTTGTTACGAGTATTGTTGGTGGTTCAACAAAAGAACCGTAGAAAAAGAGTCTATAGGCGGGATTTTTGAGACATAAATTCCATTGAAATTTAAATACGTTTATTAAAGTTTAAATATAAAATTCTTTATCTATTAATTCATAAAAACATTTCAGACATGCCTCCACTTGCCTATTTTTACTGGTAATGTTTACATACACTATACTGCCAAAAGTATTGGGCCGTCGGCCTTTCCACGCACATGACCTTTACTGGCCCCCCAGTCTTAGTCCGTAGGGTTCAATATTGAGTTGGCCCCACCCTTTCCACACACATGACCTTTACTGGCCCCCCAGTCTTAGTCCGTAGGGTTCAATATTGAGTTGGCCCCACCCTTTCCACACACATGACCTTTAATGGCCTCCCAGTCTTAGTCCGTAGGGTTCAATGTTGAGTTGGCCCCGCCCTTTGCAGCTATAACAGCTTCAACTCTTCTGGGAAGGCCGTCCACAAGGTTTAGGAGGGTGTCTATGGGAAGGTTGGACCATTCTTCCAGAAGCACATTTGTCAGGTCAGGCACTGATGTCGGGGGAGGAGGCCTGGCTCGCAGTCTCCGCTCTGATTCATCCCAAAGGTGTTCTATGGGGTTGAGGTCAGGACTCTGTGCAGGACAGTCAAGTTCCTCCACCCCAAACTGGCTCCTCCATGTCTTTATGGACCTTGCTTTGTGCACTGGTGGGCAGTCATGTTGGAACAGGAAGGGGCCATCCCCAAACTCTTCCCACAAAGTTGGGAGCATGAAACTGTCCAAAATGTTGCCTTAGGAGTTTCCTTTACTGGAACTAGGGGGCCAAGCCCAACCCCTGAAAAAAACAACCCCACACCATAATCCCCCTCCACCAAACTTTACACTTGGCACAATGCAGTCAGGCAAGTACCGTATTCTTGGCAACCGCCACACCCAGGCATGTCCATTGCATTGCTAGATAGAGAAGTGTGATTGGTTACTCCAGAGAACACGTCTCCCCTGCTCTAGAATCCAGTGGCGGCGTGCTTTACACCACGGCATCCGACGCTTTGTATTGCACTTGGTGATGTAAGGCTTGGATGCAGCTGCTCGGCCATGGAAACCCATTCCATGAAGCTCTCTACGCACTGTTGTTGGGCTCATCTGAAGGCCACACCAAGTTTGGAGGTCTTTAGCTATTGACTCTGCAGACGGTTGGCGACTTCTGCGCACTGTGCGCTTCAGCATGCGCTGACCCCGCCCTGTCATGTGACGTGGCCTACCACTTGGAGGCTGAGTGGTTGTTGTTCCCAGTTGCTTCCACTTTGTTATAATCCCACTAACAGTTGAGCGTGGAATATTTAGTAGCCAGGAAATGTCACGGATGGACTTATTGCCCAGGTGGCCACCTATCACGGGACCACGCTTGGAGTCACTGAGCTCCTGAGAGCGACCCATTATTTCACCAATGTTTGTAGAAGCCGTCTGCATGCCTAGGGGCTTGATTGTATACACCTGTGTCCATGGAGGGGATTGGAACACCCAAATCCAATGATTTGGAGGGCTGGGACAATACTTTTGGCAAGTTAGTGTATTCCTCCTTATACTGAAGAGAATCAGACTTCTAAAGGTTATTATACTCCTAGATTGTAAGCTCCCAGGATCAGGGCCCTCCTATCCCTCTTGTAATGTTGCTGTATTGTCTCCCGTTGTACTGTAAAGTGCTGAGCAAACTGTTGGCGCCATAAATCCTGTATAATAATAATTATTATTGATAAAATGGTGAGCTGAAGACTCAACTCCAGAAATTAGTATAGCAAATGTGAGTGTCGACAAAAAGTGTCTATTGCTCGTAGTGGGGGCAATTACGCTCCATTTTAGGTCTTTTCTTGGGCTTCTTTCGTGGCATTTGTCGCATCCCTTTTTCCCCCCGTGAGGGTTCCAGAGCAGTTGGTTTGCGCCCCCTTTGTCTTCTACTAAAGAAGTGGATACCATCCAAGAAACGTGTTGGGCGTGCCAATATGGGCACATGTGAAAGAAAGGTGGTTTTTCCACCCTTCATTGCTAATGTAATACAGTATATGTAGAAATGACCATTAAAAAATGCAAGTGGGGGCATGTTAGCAATGTTTTTTTATGGATTATTGGAAAAAGAATTTTCTTTTTAAACCCTGATAATAAAATTGCAGGAATTCTAATGGAATTTGTGTAAATTACGGCTCAACAATACCACCTATAGACTTTTTTTCGTACGCATTTGAGGCACATTTGAGCCCATCTAATGAGTTCTTTATATTGTTGGTGGATTCGATTCTGTTGGGAAATTTGGATTTGGTTATTTGATGCTATTTACATTTGTTCCTTGCAGATAGAAAAGTCTTTGTGATACCTTCGGGGTAATATGATAAATGTCGTCCGTGGATCACGGAGGAGACAGGAATCTGCAGACTTTGAGTCCCCAGGGAGAACGATGTTCTAAGATGATGATTATTATTTGCTGACAGTAAAGGGAGGAGGACAGCAGGGGGCGGCACAGCTCTGTGCAGGAAGAGGTCCGCCATCTATAGGCATTGTGGGCGCCTTGTGTCCTCAAGGACCAATCACATTCTCTCTTCCTCATATTCGTACATTGAGCACAGATAGTTTATTTATTTCAGGTACTTATATCGCTCCGTCAATTTACTCAGCATTTTACATATATATTGTACTTTCACATCCATCCCCGCCCCCGAGGAGCGTACAGTCTAAGGGGTCCCCAACTCACATTCATACATACACATACTAGGGCCAATTTAGACAGGAGCCAATTCACCTCCCAGCATGTCTTTGGAGTGTGAGAGGAAACCCACGCAGGCACAGGGAGAACATGCAAACTCCAGGCAGGTGGTGCCGTGGTTGGGATTATTATTATACAGAATTTATGGCACCAACAGTTTGCTCAGCGCTTTACAATATAACGGGAGACAATACAGCAACAATACAGTTCAATACAAGAGGGTTAGGAGGGCCCTGATCCTGGGAGCTTACAATCTAGGAGGGAGGGGCTAGTGGTACAAAAGGTAATAACTGTGGGGGATGGACTAGTAGGAAGAGGAGAAGATTCCATTATTAGGTGAGGGCAGGATAGGCTTCCCTGACGAGATAGGTTTTCAGAGATCACCTAAAAGTGGGCAGAGTAGGCGATAGTCTGAAAGATTGGGGTAGAGAGTTCCAGAGGATGGGGGAGGCTCTGGAGAAGTCCATGGGAGGAGGAGACAAAGGAGCTAGAGAACAGGAGGTCATGCGAGATTCCAACCATCGACCCTAGTACTGCTAGGCAGGGGTGCTAACCACTTAGCCACTGTGCTGCCCATTTCCTCCTTCATCTATGACAGAGAGGGGCTGTGGGGGGAATACAAAGTGAAGGCCGGCTCTAAATACACACCTTAAAATGTGAGCTGAATCCCCAGCTCCTAGAAGCCGCTCTGAGGGGGACAAGCGGGTATTGTCGGATGATTGTCCCCTTTGTATCATCTCTGGCTTCTTGATCGGATATTGATGACGACTAAACATAAGGTACCAGTTCTCAGCTCCGGCTGCGGCCAAATTTCATCAGTGAGTGACTCCATGGCAAAAGGTAAATCACTTGTGTGACATCATCAGTCTCTGATGTACAAACACATTCACGAGGCTGACAGGGTATCCCTGATTTCTGGAGGCCGTCCACATTTTCAGAGACAAGGCAAATAAAGATACAAATGTTATAGGATGCTGAGAGATCCACCAATCAGCCATAACACTCTAATAAGTATCAATTTTTCAGAGTACTTGCTCCTGTCCCCCTGCACTCTGTGTGTTACCTACTTCTGGCCCCTGCAACCTTTGGGTTACTTACTCCTGGCCCCTGCATTCTGTACATTACTTACTCCTGACCCCTGAACTCTGTGGGTTACTTACTCCTGACCCTTACACCCTGTATATTACTTACTCCTGACCCTTACACCCTGTATATTACTTACTCCTGACCCTTGCACCCTGTATATTACTTACTCCTGAGCTCTGTGGGTTACTTACTCCTGACCTCTGCACTCTGTACATTACTGACCCCTGAGCTATGTGGGTTACTTACTCCTGACCCCTGAACTCTGTGGGTTACTTACTCCTGACCCCTGAACTCTGTGGGTTACTTACTCCTGACCCTTGCACATTGTATATTACTTACTCCTGAGCTCTGTGGGTTACTTCCTCCTGACCTCTACACTCTGTATATTACTTACTCCTGACCCCTGAGCTATGTGGGTTACTTACTCCTGACCCCTGTACTCTGTACATTACTTACTCCTGACCCATGAACTCTGTGGGTTACTTACTCCTGACCTCTGCACTCTGTACATTACTTACTCCTGACCTCTGCACTCTGTACATTACTTCCTGTTGAACCCTACACTCTGTGGGTTACTGACTCCTGCACTCTGTACAATACTTACTCCTGACCCCTGCACTCTGTACAATACTTACTCCTGACCCCTGCACTCTGTACAATACTTACTCCTGACCCCTACACTCTGTGGGTTACATACGCCTGGCTCCTGCACTCTGTGAGTTACATACGCCTGGCCCCTGCACTCTGTGGTTTACATATGCCTACCCCTGCACTCTGTGAGTTACATACGCCTGGCCCTTGCACTCTGTGAGTTACATACGTCTGGCCCCTGCACTCTACATTACTTACTTCTGACCCTTGGGTTACTTATGCCTGACCCTTGCACTCCGTACATTACTTCCTGTTGAACCCTGCACTCTGTACAATACTTACTCGTGACCCCTGCACTCTGTGGATTACATACTTCTGGCCCCTACACTCTGTGGGTTACATACACCTGGCTCCTGCACTCTGTGAGTTACATACGCCTGGCCCCTGCACTCTGTGGTTTACATATGCCTACCCCTGCACTCTGTGAGTTACATACGTCTGGCCTTTGCACTCTGTGAGTTACATACGTCTGGCCCCTGCACTCTACATTACTTACTCCTGACCCTTGGGTTACTTATGCCTGACCCTTGCACTCCGTACATTACTTCCTGTTGAACCCTGCACTCTGTACAATACTTACTCCTGACCCCTGCGCTCTGTGGACTACATACTTCTGGCCCCTACACTCTGTGGGTTATATACGCCTGGCCCCTACACTCTGTGGGTTACATACACCTGGCCCCTACACTCTGTGGATTACATACGCCTGGCCCCTGCACTCTGTGAGTTACACACACCTGGCCCCTGGTGGAGCAGAAGTGATAGGAGATTGTGGGTTAGGTACAGTAGAGGGGTTATAAGGGTTGGGGGTTTTAGGTGGAGCAGGAGTGATAGATGTTTGGGGGTTACATATGGTGGAGTTGCTATGAGGGTTGGGGGTTTTAGGTGGAGTGGAAATGATAGGAGTTTGGAGGTAAGGTATGGTGGAGGGATTTTTGGGGTTGGTGTTTTTTGGGTGGGGCAGGAATGATCGGAGTTGAGGAATTATTGATGCAGTTTGTAGTCTTAAACGCAGGAAAGCTGCTCCCTCCCCCCAAACGGCTGGCAGCGCTGTACCCATTTGAGATTGATCCTGGTAGTGCTTTACCTCCACTGTGGATCGGGCAGTACCTTGCTTTAACAAAGCCTTGACAATCTCTGTGAAGGATAGTTTGGTGACCACTTCCCAAAACCCTGTTCCCTATGACAGGCCCTCCTGTCCAACCCGTCCTGGCTGGGATAATTGTCTGCCAGACTTTAACTGACTAGGCTGAGGCCATGAGACGGGATCCAGTTACTATCGACGATGGGAGGGAGTGTTGGGAGTTCATGCCAGAAGCGTTGAGCGACTTCAGTGACGGGTTGCTGGCAATCACACATCTTATTTACCATGGGCGTCCTCTGTCAGTGAACATGAGGACTCGTGTTCACTTCCTCAGCCACAGAATCCTAGAGTTCAGTCCTGGGGCCCTTCTTGGAGGCCAAGAACAGTTCCTTTTGGTGCTTCCAGGCTTCAAACTCCAAAGTCAAGCCCAAACCTGGTCCCCAGTCCACACACAGATCATGGACTTCAAAGTCCATGAACGGCCCCCATAATGTTTCAAAACAGGGGACACATGTTAGCTTTTGCAGACATTTTGACAGACAGCATCTCGGATGCTTTGGTTTAGGACATTGTTTCCAGGGGCTACAAACTGAAACTTTGCTCTGAGCCCCTTCCTCGGTTCACATCTTCCAACCTGCCTGTGTCAGTGCACAGATAGGCAAATCTACTGTATGTACAGAAGGTCTTCTTGAGCAGGGAATAATCACCCCAGTACCTATGACAGGATGGTTCCAGGGGTTTTACTCCAACCTGATCACTGTTCCCAAACCAAAGAGGGGCATCTTCCCCATCATGGATCTCAAAGCCCCAGATGCCTTCATTTAAACCAAAACTCCCACATGGAATCCCCCAGGTCTGTCGTAACAGATTTTCTGACCTCTGTGGAAACTAAGGATGTCTACTTGGATGTCCCGGTTTTTCCAGCACACCACCAATGTCCTTTTTAGATATGGGAGAGGGTTCAAGGTTCTGTCAGGTTTTCTGTGTTCCTGTTGGAAAT